CGGTCGACTCTGAGGATCCCCGTGGGGGGGGGGCATGGGGCGGGAGGAGAGAGGGGTAATAAAACGAGCCACGGACGGTAGGGGCCGGGGAGGGGGAAGGGAAATACTGGCTGTCAAAGCCAAGTCGGGAAGCCCTGTGCCGACGGGCAAAGTTGCAAAGAGGAGGATCATACGGTGATGATGTTGATGGTGATGATGATGTGTTGATGTCACGCCAGGGGTGCACACCGATCCTGACTCCTTAGTGGGAAAGGAGGAGGTAGCGGAAGGAAGGAGATGAATCTTGCACACACACATATACATACATACATACATACATAAGAGTAATTTCGTACTTCGGCCCAGCCGTCCAGAACCTATCAAAGAGAAACGACGGCAAAGCTGACCCAAATGGACCACCTCAAGAGAGAGGAGGCGAGAGAAGCAAAAAGAGCCCTAGTTGGTTCCCGGGGTCTCCGCTTCCCCCCGGGGACCCCAAAACACATACACACAAACACACACACCTTTCCCCCCTCCCCTTTTTCCTCTCCTTCCTCTCCCTCCCTCCCCTTTTTCCTCTCCTTCCTCTCCCTCCCTCCCCTTTTTCCTCTCCTTCCTCTCCCTCCCCACCCCAAAACTGTTCCCTCTAAATCCAAATGACTCACCTTGTAATCCGGGAATATCTGGCTGAACTTGTCAATCACAACCGCCAACAACCCAGGTGCCGTACTACCAACCGCCAGTACGACAAGCGTGATGCTGCCAATGAGGTAGGAGGAGAAGAAGCCCCAGTCACCGGGCAGCTGGCCAGCAAGTACGGCAAGGATGCTGGTGGACGCTGCGGATAAGCGTGTGTGTGTGCGTGTGTTTGGGGTTTGGCAGGGGTTGGATGTGGGGGCGGGGAGGGAACGGGCAAGGGGAGAACCCGGTGAGACGAATCAATGACGGTGACTAAAACACACATCAGAGAGAGACGGATAGAGTGTGGGGTGAGGGGGCGGGGGTGAGGGGGAAAGACGGGAAAGACAAACCCCACCACTGATGCGGCAAGGAAAGACTGCTGCTGCGGCGGCGGATGTGAAGAAAGCATAACATGTGTGTGTATGGGGGGGGGGTTAAGGAGGCATGGATGAATGCTTTACTTATACGGCTTATACGGCAAAACTGAATGAAGACTTTTTTCACGAGCGTCGTCCGCCCCTTACGCTCGTGTCCCGACGTGCTGTAACTACGAAGGGGAGAACCCGCGAAGGGCTCCTCCTCCTCCACACAACCTCCCCCCGCAACCCAATACCTCGTCACCTCGGCACACCTCAGCTACAACCTCCCAAACCCACACGCACGCAAAAACAAACACGGCTAGGTTTGAAATTCGGTTTTCGTTTTTGTTGCTTCTCCCTCGAGGGCCCTCGCGAGAACGTTACGAATCATACAAACTCCAAGAAGGGAGAGTTTCTTCGGCGGCGCACCCCAAACCCACACTTACTCACCAACAACGGAGAAGAGGAATGCGGCGTCGTTGCGTACGGAAGGTACGGCGATCTTGTCGGGGTTCTTGATGCCCACCTGCAGCCGCCGTACAAGATCCCCAGATGCCCACAACCCCGCACATACATGGAACATCGTAAACAGCTAGCAGCCAAGCAGCGAAGGGTTTAGCCATGGATGGACCTATCCAATCTATCCAGTCAGGCAGAAAGACAAACATACATACATTAAGTTTTCCAAACCTGCACCCACACAAAATGCAGGAAGGGAAGGAGAAGGAAAACACAAAACACGTATCCAGGATTGCACATACATACACACATTACATACATACATACGTACGCGTGTACCTGTCGCAGCTCCCCAACAAACACGTTGCGGCGGCGCAAGGCGTCAGATACCGCCGAGCCCCACTTGGCGGCTACTCCCGCTGTACGGAGCTGCTCGTACGAATCCAGTACGGGACCGCTGAACTCCACACGCTGTCAAGCGGATTTAGAGTTTCATGATTTGCGGGGGATTGGTGGGGGAGGGAACGGGGAGGTGGGGCACGGGCCGTGAGGGTGGGGGGTAGGGAACAGGGAAACAGGGAACAGTAGGGGAGAATATGATAAGGTTTGGGTTCACATAGGGAAGATGAAAAGAAGTGCGATACCCGGGACGGTCGAGAGGAGAGGGGAGCGGGAACTGGACTCGTTGTGTTAGTTAGTTAGTTGTTTGAGGTTGCCAGGATGGACAGCCGATGCCCGCGGCAGTTGCGCGGGTGAAGGGGGAGTAGAGAGGGGGGTTAGAGGGGAAAAGACGAACCATGAGTGACTGAAGCTGCTGCCAAGGAAAGAGTGCTGCGGCAGATGTGGGGTGGGGGACGTGCGAAGAGGCGGAAGTGGAGGGTTTGGACGGGTAGGTGGGAGGGTGAAGGGTCTGCTGACAGGCGGTGGTAGGGGAGGTGTTAAGGCTTTGGCCATCGCCCTAGAGTGGCTTGTTTGGCGTTGCATTGCGGGTGTGGCTAAGGTGCTCTGGACCGGCAAGATGAGCAATCAAGTCAATTTTTTCACCTTCACGTGTGCGAAGATAATCCCTATTGTTAGCTATTGCACATCGTTTTGCAGTCTATACTGAGCAATGACTTCGTTTGGATTGTTTGTGGGAGCGGTTCGTTTGGATTCAGTTCATCTAAGCAAACGTTTGGATACGCACCATGGCCGCGGGTGCTCGCCGCAGGTTGTCACATGCAGTGTCCAGGTCTGCAAATAGCGTCCGCGCATCGGTCGTCGTTCCGGTGCTGCTACTTGTGGTGCTGGCCTCAGCCCGTATCCGCAAGTGAGCGTTAGGGCGCGCTGGAAGAAAAGACGATCTACTTACAACCCTATTCACCTGGCAAACGCCCTGACCCACGATAACATGTTTCAAATTTATCATGTTTGGACACCGTGAAGCTTGCTTGCTGCAAAGCTGAATTCCTTCCGTATCGGCAATACAGACAATCCTAAGAGAATAGAAACGACGATGAAGTCTGATGCCCATGTGCTGTAAAGGGCATCCTTGACTATGTCAGAATTACACGGTATCGTACGCTTCCATGCTGTGGACTGTCTCCCTCTACAGGCTAGCGCTCAATTTGTGCCCAACATGACATATCTAAACTAAATCACGAGGTAGCGTTGCGTGTTTGGTAGCCTGTGATTCGAGGAGTTAACAGTATTTCGTGCCAAGGTTGTAAATGCGCGGCGACGTTGAAAATCCCGAGCATCATTTCAGGCCACGGCGTAGAGAGCTGACCGACGAGGAAATGGAGGCCAGCTTCAGCGAACGGGGAATGTTTGATGAGCTGGAGTTCCTCGCAAGGACGCCGGAATTGAGGCGTGCGTGGGACCGCGTGCGAACAGCCGCAATCCGTGGCGCAGCCGCTGGCGTTCTTATCAAAGGCGGCCTTCACACGCTGACCTTCGCGATGTACCTGCTTTCGCGAATCCGCGGCAAGGGGCGGCAACGCGTGACGACATTTTCGGATGCCCTCCGCGACACCGTGCTCCACACATGCTTCTTGGCGGCCCTCGGCTCATCCTACACAGCAGTGGATGAAGGCATAGCCCTCATTTTCGGGAAAGCCAGGTCAGGACAGTCACTTCGCGAAGCCTAACGGTTTGTCGTCCGGTTCCGCTAAACCAAAGAGCTAAAAGCGGTTCACGTGCCGTGCTGGGCGCACACAAGCACGGCCTATAAGACGCCGCCATACTATATTATTTGACCAAGGGTAATATCTCTTGGTGAACATATTCCTCTATTCCCTCCCTTCTTGTCAACGCTCGGCCGACATCCATGGCCAAAGCTCTAGAACGCGAATGAAAAGCTCCCACCACCCCTCTCTCCCGGTCTCCCTCCTTTCAAAATAAACCCCCGAATCAACCAGCCCGGGCTCTGTCTTGGCCCCGGCTTTTCAACCCACATCATCACACCATACATACACGCCAACTTTACAATACAAACATACAAGCCCATATGTATCATAGTTAATAAACATTCAAACTCTTTGTGTGTCTATATTTACGTATTGTATGTAGCACTCAGCGGTGGCGAGCTCTGGTGGCCGGTCTCATCGCGGGGCAGTCCCTGCGCATGACCGGGTGAGTGGCTCAACTAGAAGCGGTGAAAGGTGGGAAGGTGGGAGAGGAGAAGGAGGAGGAACTCCGGGGAATTATACGCGCAAGGTCAGGGAAACATTTGCCGACGAAGAGGCGGGTGACGGGAGAGGAGTGAGTGAGTGGGATGGAGGTGGCGGAGAGAGAGTATGTGTGTGGAGGGGGCCCGGGGAGAATTGCTCGAGTGTCGCACGAAGAAGGCGGCCGTGTGTGTGTGTGTGAGGGAGAGAGAGAGAGAAAGAGAAAGAGAAAGAAAGAAAAAAAGAAAGGGGGCTTAGGGTTGGAAGGTGGGGGAGTTCAACGTATTGTACGGAGGGAAGCGACAGCGACATTTTTTGCAGCAAAACATGTGATAACATGTGATAAATGTTCTCGTTGATTTTCGTTGGAGCACCTTGTTCTGGGAGCGCCTTGCCCCTAACCCCGCGAATCAAGGCAGTAATGGGGCGCGAGGGTGCGTAGGTGGGTGTGGCCGGTGCGGGAAAGTGTATTGGAATGGGCCACCAGAGTGGGAGTGCGTGTCTTCGGGGGGTCGGCGACGGCGCTGCAGTTGCTGATGTCCAGTTGCAATGCCCACCCCCACTGCACACCCCCAACCCCAACCCCACTGCACACCCGGCCTCATCCATCTGGCCGCTCCTTTCCACGAACCCCCAAAACTCACCACCTTTTTTTCCGTACGACAGATCCAATCAGCGACATTACAGCTTGGCGACGTACATCCTGCTGCGGGGCCTTACGTTGCTGGTGCGTACGGGCAACAAACCCAGGTGGGTCCGTTGTATGTATGTATGCATGTATGTGCGTTTCGGGTTTTTGAATGGATGGATGGTGATGGAAACGGTGGGTAGAAGGGGAGGTGGGAGTGTTGCATGTGTGTGTGTGTAGAATATGTATAAAAAAGAGGCAAAGGAGAAGTTTTGGTCAGCATGCCGGAGGACCAGGGTCAGGATCGGGAGATGATATATGTCCGTGATGAATAAATGATTATACTGCCGTACCATGAATGACATTCCAACGGTTATTAACGATTTTTGTTAACAAAAGGTACGGGGCCGCCGGGTTGGAAGATTCGGAAGGGATGTTAAGTTTTTGGAGGAGGAGGCCCCAAACCGGCCAGCACTACTTTTTCCACGAAGTCCAGGCTTTTCATACAAAATAGCTGCTTGATCATCATGGTGTGCGAATTAATATCACTACTGTGACTACTACATTATTTGTGTGCGTTTTTTCATTACAGGAAATTCGTGACAAAGAGTTTCTCGAATGTTAAATAATATATTTTGGGTTTAGGGTTTCTCTTCCCGGTGCTTTTCCCCCACCCACCCACAAACACACCTCGCCTACCCCCCCACCCACGTGGTTCGTTTTTCCCCCCACCCACGGTGTACCTCCCGCCACCGCGCGCAGCGCCTCCCCCTCGCTCCGTGCGTTGCTGCGTCCCACCCGCCTGCAACACGGCGACACGCTGTTGATGTGTTTGGCGGCGAGTCAGATTCTGTACTCCTTCATCATGGCGCCGTCCTCCCTGCCGCCTGCATACGTGCGGTTCATTTCGAGGATGGGGGGAAAGGACGTGGCGGTGTGGGCGGCGATGAGGGTGAGTGGGGAAGCTGGGAAGGGGTGAAGGGGGGGTTGGGAAGGGGTGAAGGGGGGGATGAGTGCGGCGCGGGAGAATGCGGTAGGAGGTATGCGGATAATTTAATCAACCTTTTCACCCTTTTAAAGTAAAGTTTAAAGCCGATTGTCTTTTAGCAATTAACTTCGGGAAAGCTAATTTCCACGCAGGACATATTCAATTATGTTCTCGTACCGGCTTTAACACCCTTGTCCTTTGACACCTGTAATAATCGTAAATTTTTTAAAAAATTTATATTAAAATTTAAAATACATCCCCAAATGCCTTTTCATGTTTACAGTCGCAAGAGCAACCACGCTAACCCTGAACCCTTCCAAACACGCAAAACACGCTCACACGCGCACAGGAACACGCGCTCCGCAACTCTTTGGGGTTAGCGCCTGGTCCTCTCCGGGCGCTGCGGGGAACCCCCCTGGACTATCTAAATGCTCGTCCAGGCCGACTGCGTCGTACACCCTGCGAGTTTTTTCATCCTGGTCAGAGTTGTACGACCCACGCAGTGGGTGTGTTGCCTCAGGTGGGGCCCCCGGGGCTTTCCGGAACCGCTCGAGTGACACGTTTTTTTGTGTGTTTTGTACGTTTCTGTGTTTGTATGTATGTATGTATGTATGTATGTTTGCATGGTGACTATCCGAGAGGTTTCTGCGTAATTATTGTCGTACAGTTCAACAAAAAGGGACAGAGATGAGCAGTGACTAACCGTACACGGGTTCGTGGCCACCGGGGGCCACGGCAAGCCCCCCCTCCGTTCCCCCGCAGTCCAGCCGTCGCGTCGTACATCCTCTTTAAAATGCTCCTCTCCATCGCAACGACTGACATATTGCTGCGTCCTTTGCCGTACATCTATTGCTCCACTGGATGCACGGCGGTGGTGACGTCACTGGATGGTGGTGAAGGCGTACGGCACTTCGCTAGCCGTGTACGTGCCGTTCTACCTCGTATCATCCATTCTCGTCCACCGTACGGCACTACTGGCTCGGCCGAAGGAGCTGCTTCCCAAAATTGCGCTTGCCGTACTCCGCTCATCCGCTTTTCTATCGGCCTATATTGCGGCAGCATTTGCGGGTAATAATAATAATAATAAGGCCCATTGGTATTTGGGATATTATTGGGTAGTTAATTCAGTTCATTTGAGGGATTACGGTTTTAGTGCCGAATCGTGACGAATCAAACGAACATTCGCATAAATAGCAATCACGACGTACGGAATTGTACGACACACACCAAATGTACGACATGCAGATCTTACCCTTTCGTTTTGTGTAGTATCTTTTAAATATCACTCCGCTGTGGGCCATGGTCCTGTGGTAATCCTCCTGTGGGCATGGTCCTACTGCCCTCCTGTTAACAGTCCGCGGCTAACTCACAGATCACCGAATGTACGACACATACAAGGAAATCCACGGGCATGCAAACCCGTGCCGTGATCTCCCGCAGGCGCGTGTGCCGGGTTTTGCGTGTCGGGCGTCAACACGGGTGCCGTGATCGCTGCCAGCGTATGGGCCGGGGGGCTGGCTACACTGCTGGAGAAGAAGAGCAGGAGGATGGAACTGGCCATGTACTGCGCGGCGCGAGCGCTGGAGGCATTCATACGGTGAGCGAGCGGTTGGGGTTGGGACGGGGGGGGAGAGGGAAGGGGAAGGGGAGGAGAAGGGAGGGGAAGGGAAGGGGAAGGGAGGAAGGCAGACAAACCACGAAAACGAGTGAAGCTGGTGCGAAGGAGGGGAGCGGAAGGAATGTAGGATGAAGTGAAACGTCCTCGGGGGGATGAATGTTGTGTTTTCATCCTCCTAGCTGTTGGCGTTTCGAACTCTTATGTGCGTGTTTGTGTGTTGCGGCATTTCTTAAATCCACAGCTTTCACAGAGGTCATACATACATCACACACCTCATCGTTATCCGGGTTTTTTTTTACCCATTTGCATTTTTATTCAGATGTTGCTGGATTTGGAGCTCGGACGGGGGCAGCAGTAGCAGCAGTAGCGCCGCCGCAACCCCCGTCCTCCCCGGGGGCCCCGGGCGCCGTCGTCCTGTTGGGTCGGGCGGCCTACACCCGCCTCCACTCTCCCCAGCCGCTTTCCGGGGATTGCAGCAGCACGGACACCGGCCGCTGGGCCCCCGGCGGGCAACGCCGCAGGCTCCAGCGGTGTCGGCGGTCTCCGTCTCGATGTGCTGATGTTCAGTTTGGGTTGTGGGGCCATCATGCACTGCTACAGCGACTCCAGGGGGGAACACCGGGATGTGTTTCGCTCAAAGTACCTGAACGTTCTGGACTTCATTTTTGGAAATGAGGGTGGGTCGGTGTAATTTGCAAGCGTGGCGCAACCTCACCCCACCCTCCCCCCACGCCGGTGCGGTTTGTCTTCCTACCCTCGCCCCACGCCGGGGGTGAGGGTGGTAGTGGGGGGAGGTGTGGTGTGGTGTTGTACATGTGGGCGCGGAAAAGTCTGATTTATAACTCGATGTTACCACTACCGCCCCCACTACCCCCCCCCCCCAAACCTCCCGCTGGTACTCACGGCAATACACCGGTACACCACCAGTAATTTTGGCGGCTGGACGCAACCTCCCCCTCCCCTTCTCGTTCGTGGTTGGTCTCAGCTTCACTCGTTCGTGCTTCGTCTTTCCCCTCCCCCTCCCTCCCAACCCATCCCCCTCCCTCCCCATCCCCCTCCCCATCCCCCTCCCCCCTCCCTCCCCATCCCCCTCCCCCTCCCCCCCCTCCCCCTCCCCCCCCTCCCCATCCCTCCCCCTCCCCCTCCCCCTCCCCCTCCCCCGCCCCCATAGGTGTTCAGCAGGGCAGTATTTCCCACGTACCCACCAATTTGGAAATCATGTTCACAGTGGGTCGCCGTCTGCGGACCATGACGTCATCGCGGGGGGTGCTGTACAGCGGCGACCACTCCGCCTCCTTCGCCACGGCGTCGGTGTCGCCGCTCACCCAGTCCGCGGCGCAGTCCCTGGGGGAGGGGCTCGGCCAGCGGGGGGGCTGTCCCGCTGCCGGGATTGGCGGCGGCGGCGAGGGTGAGGGTGAGGGGGTTGGCTTCGCCGTCACCGGCGGACACATCCACCACGGCGGGCATGGCTACAGCCGATACCTGAAGCGGCAGCAGCAGCAGTTGCTGCTACAGCAGCAGCACCAGCAGCAGGGTTGTTGGTCTGGGAAGGGAAGAGATGTCGTGCGTGGTGGTGGCAGTAGTAGCGGGAGTGGTCTGGTTCTGGAGCGGGGCGCAGGAGGCGGAAGTGGAGAAGCGCCGCAGAGACGGTTGTGCAGCTCTTTGCTGTCGGGCTCGGAGGCTGCGGAGGCGGATTGTAGGGGGCCGGGGGCGTCGTACGGCTGCAACGGAGCGGCGATGGCGGCGGCAGCGTCTGCGGCTGCGGGAATGGTGGTAAGGGAGGCGGCGGCCCGGCTTGAAGGGGAGCAGCAGCAGCAGCAGCTGCAACAACGACAACAACAGCGGCAGCGGCATTTGGTGGGAGGGGCAGGTACGGAAGCGGCGGCCGGGGCAGCAACGGGAAAAAGCGCTGGCGGCAGCGGCAGCCCGAGTAGCAGTGAGTGGGAGGACGTCTGGACCGCGACGGCAGGCTCCTCCCCAAGCGCAGACGGCGCGGCGCCGCCGCCGCTGGCGGCCGCCGCAGCCGCCGCGGCTGGATCCCTTACCCGCACCTCATCCGCCCCATTGGCCGGCGACGATACCGTCGTACATAACAGCCCCTTTGCGGTGGCGGCGGCGGCGGCGAAGCCCCTGGCGGGAGTAGCAGCGGCGGCGGCGCCGCCGCCAAGGACTCTTGGTTGGGCGGCCAGGTTGGTGGCGGATGCGTTTCACCGGGCTACTGGCGGCGGCGCCACGGCCGCCCCTTCACCGTCAGGTGACGCGCCCGTCGCCGGTGCGGACGTCACGGCGGCGGCGGTGGCAAGGCCGTCACAGCCTCATGCGGAGAGCGGCGGCGGCGGTGGCGGTGGCGGCGGCGGCGGCGGCATCTGGGGCGGTGTAGGCCGGCGCTGTAGCATGCGACGGATCAGCACTGCTCCCCACGGTCTGCAGCACTCCGCCAAAGCCATGCTACTGCTCTCGGATCCAACTTCAGAGCACTGCGGCCGCGGCCGTAGCAGCTACAAGGAGCTACAGCGGCTGAGCGCTGGCGGCGGCGGCGGCGGTGGCGGCGGCGACGCTCTGGCGGCAGCGGCCGCTGCTGCTGACAACGATGTCGCATCGCCAGCGTCGATGTCCTCGTCACCCGGTGCCGCTGAGACTGCTGCTGCGGCGGCGGCGGCGGCGGCGCCGTTGCCGCTGCCCCGCGCCAGCATTCCGTACAATGGCTCTGAGCCGTCGTCGCCGTCCGGACGCCATGTGGCGCCGCCGTCGCGGGCGCGGCCGGTGCCCGTACCCAACGCCAGTAGCCGTACGCCGGCGTTTCGGCCCCGCATGCCCTTTGCCAGCGGCGGCGGTGGCGGCCGCAGCATCGCTGGCGGGGGCGGCGCCGGCGCCGACGCCGCTGCTTCCGTACCGCCGCTGGCGCCCCGCTCCCTACCCACCGGCGGTGGCAGCTTGAGCTCTAGCCTCAACCGCCTTTCCGGCGGCTTCAACGGCCGTCTCGTACATTGGGGCACCCCTTCAACCAACAACCACTTCCTCAACGCTCAACCATGTCCCCGCCAGTTCGACAGCGGCAAGCGCAGCGGTGGCGGTGCCGTCGCAGCGAAGGGCCACGGCGAGTCCGTGACTGGGCCCGGGTATGGCGCCGCTGCCGCCGCCGCCGCCGCCGGCGGCAGCGGTGGCAGCGGCGGCGGCGGCGGCGGCAGCGCCTTAACATTTGAACTTAACGGTGCGCTGAGTCACCCCAGTCCAGTACCCAAGACGCCAATATGGCCCCGGATGAGTCTGGATTCTCAGGTGACGGAGGCGACGGAGACGTCGACGGCGGCGGCAGCGGCGGCATGCTCTGCGCCGGCGGCAGGCGGGGGAGTGCTGGCGGCGGCGGGGGCAGCGGAAGCGTTGGCTCTCGCTGTCCCGCATACGGATTGAAGAGGCGGCTGACCGGAAAGGCTTTCATGTCCGGATGTGCCCGGGCCGGGGACGAGGTGTAACGTGTTAGATAGAGCGATAGGTATAGTAGACATTTTCTTCTATTAAATTAAAAAGTTGCATTTAAATGGATTTGGGAGGGAATTTGCTTTTTTGGGGTATTTAATGAAAGTGCGGGTGGTCTCAATGGCGATGGCGATGGCGATGGAGTGAGTGTCAGTGCCCCCTGGAGGATTGGAAGGAAGGATGTTGGTCCCGGGTGTGTGCGTGTGTGTGTGTCTGTGTGCGTATGTGTGTGCGTATATGTGTGCGTTCGTGTCTTCTAGGAGGCAAGCTCATCCTGAATGTATATTTCGTGTGTGTATGTATGTATGTATGTATGTATGTATGTATGTATGTATACATGCTTGTTTGTGTTGTACGTTCGTTTATGCCTGATTTTTGTTTGCGTGCCTGTTTCTATGAACGTACGTTTTGTCTATCTGTCTGTCAGTGCGTCTGTCTGTCTGTCTGTCCGTCTGTCTAATTGTAAAGTCGAGCTGCGGCGAACTGTTTCAAGGCAGTTGTGTGTGTGTATATGCTTGTTAGTGCGTGCTTACCTACCATAATACAACGTCTCCATGCCTTCCGTTTAATGAATGACGGTGTAGTAGTAGTAGGAGTAGGAGGAGGAGGAGGACGAGGAGGAGGAGGAGGAGGACGAGGAGGAGGAGGAGGAGGACTCCAGGTGTCGTGTTGGAAATATTATGGTTCCGATGTCCAACCACCCACCATGTTTGTCGCGTTCTTCTTTTGTGTTGTCGCGCGTAGTGGGTGAGGGGCCGAGGGTGAGGAGTTGAGCTCGGTGTTTTTTTCATTCCTATGCGGCAGGTGTCGCGGTTGCGGGTGTTTTGGGGTGAGAGCGGGGGGACGGGGACGTTGCGGGTCTCAGTTTGCGAGCTGGGGGGTCGCGGCGGGGGCCTGAGGGGCTGAGGGTGTGCCGTGTCGGCCGCTGGTCTTTTTGTCTCGCGGCTAGGTAGATCGATATGATGAACGGTTGACGGTTCCAGTGGTCCCAGTTACGAGTCGCAAAAATGGTTTCATTTTGGTTTGGGGGAGGAGATGGAGCAGCAGCATTGGGAGAGCGTGGAGACGAGGAAAGGCAAGGCGTGTTTTTATTATGTTGTAATGTTATTATTCAAAAAGGGACGAGACCCGAGGGAACGATTTCTCCTAGATTTTTGTTTTAGAATTGACTAGATCGACTTTTTCCTTTTGCTCTGTAGCTGTGTGTTGGCTGTGTTGGACGTTGGCGACGGCGGTTGTATAGTGGTTAAAATTATCGTGGTGATAATGGCAGTTATGGTTATGGTGGTTGTGGTGGTGTAAGGTGTACGGTTATTAGTGACCAGACATCGGCAAACGGGGTGTTGTTGGTTTCGGGAACGGTTCTATTTCTGTGTTCTTCCAGTTCAATGGCCCGCGACCTGTTCTTCATCATTGAGTAATGCGGACTCAGATCATCGGGCGACCCCTCGGGCCACATAACACCTTTCGTATACGGCGTATTTTACCTATTTCTGCAAGCCAGTCGGCTTTGGGAACTCTTTTTCCGTTTTTCCGGGAGTTTCGGTGTGACCCAAAACTCCCGAAGCGTTTGCCGATGTCTGTTAGTGACGATGTATTTGTTGATGATGATGATGATGATGAAGAGGTGTTTGCTGTCATCGCTGATAGCCATTCTCCATTATAAGATAAGATACTGCTACACGACGGAAAGTAATGTTGAGAGCCTGGGAAGGGGGGGGGTAAAGAAGAGGGGTCTGGTCGGGGGAGTTGTGCTGATGGGGGGAGTCTTGATGGTGCGCCAGTGATGATGACACTGACGAGATGGTGGTGTTGATATGCCTTCTTCTGACTGATGGAACTGCATGTATGTGGCAAAACAGGCGGCGGGTGAGGAAAGATCGGATTGGGGACTGGCGATGCGGTAACAAGGGGGGGGATAATAAAGGCACCTTGTTCTGCGCCCAGAACGGGGGGCCAAGCGGCGGGAAGGCGGGAGGACGGTTTACAAGCCGACTTAGGAAACTCGCGCCGCACGTATCAGCTTTTTAATTTCGTGCGCGGCAGCACCTGAATTCAAATCGACACCAGGTGAGCTTTCTTTTTTTTGAATTATCCCATCACTTGTGTCTGTCGTAAAAAGATAGGTTGCGTATTATGTATGTACAAAATGTTCGACAGATCTGTTGGTAAGAGAGGTGGAGAGAGAGAAAAGAGAAAAATCAATGAACAGCGAAACATGTTTCCTTTTTTTTAAACATGTTTCCTTTTTTTGTATCGAACACTTTCAGATAATTTGAATAATTTGTGCGGAGCCAGCGTACACGGCGGTTAATGATTGAGAAGGCTCCTCTGCCTTTTCGTCCTTTCTTTTTCTTTTACAGCATTTTTCAGGCAATGTACGGAATTGCCTGTAATATACCTGCTGAATTGTTGCATTTTTCTCCCCAATTCCTGCTCACCTAGATAGACCCCCGGCCATGGGGCCGATCATGGGATTATCACGATGCTCTCGACATCATCAAACACCCAGGCCGCGGAGTGTTTGTGCCTCTTTAAACTATGGAAGCCGACTTTCTGACCATGTCGCATTTGATATAAAACAGTATTGTAATGTTTATATAATTCATGAATCATACACACCGACAATTTCCTGAACGCTGATGTGATGTCATAAATTACCAAAAAAACAACACCAGCATCGCTGCCTAAGGTGCGCACTCAGGTGCCGTGGGCTCGTGTGCTTGCTTGCGCGAAACGACGTAAACGGGTATTGAGCTGTGGGACGGGGTTGAGGGAAAAACCAATGACACACGGCTGGACGGGGGATCGGTTTCACACCCCGATGCCCCCCCTCATACACACAGCTCCTCCCCATTTTCCCCCATTTTTCGCCCCCATCCTCCTCCTCAAAAAGGCGGCCGCAGGAGGTGGAGGAGGAGGCGCGGGATGTAGTTGTACAGCAGACAAAAACACGGCATAAGTGTGTGTTTTTATAACGCATCATGTCGCCTGCTGTCGCATTCTCGCGCGATTGAAATTCCACTCTGCTGAAGGAAAGGGATATGTGTGTATTGGTCGTACATCGCAGATGATGTACAGCCTCTGATGGATGAAACAGTGCTAAGACTGCCCTCATCTATGTTAAAAAACACTCGTCGTCACGCTTTGTCGCCTAACCCTTTCCACCACACACTGCTAAAAACTATCAAAGCTAAAAAACGCATGCATGACGTGCACGCACACACACATACATACATACATACATACATACATACATACATACGCAGACAAGCATATGCGTGTGTACCCACTCTCACAAAAAATACGCCGCGGGGCGTAACATCCTCAACCCCCGCCCCTCTCAGGATTCGGAACTAGATAGATCTGATCTGGATCTTGGAACACACATCCGCGCTCGGAAGGCAATGCGACACGCATAAGGCGTGTGATGCGCGGCCATAGACACAAGAAGCGGCAACTCCAGTAAAACACCGAAAAATATCTTTCCTTATTATTACTACGATCATACCTCGCATGGGGAAAAAATGAAGCCATAATAATTATACATCGCATAGCGCATTCACCCGCCCCCCCGGCCACTCCATAAAAGCTGTTGCCTGTCTGTTGCCCCCCGGGCTAGACCGGCCGGAGTCCGCGGAGACACAGCAGCAGTACTACAGCCACATTTGCCGTACCATGCATTTACCACACTATCTCGTCCTTATCACCACCACCACCATCTTCATCACCATTTTCATTTTCATCATCATCGTCGTCACGCATCCGTTCGCAGTGACAGTAGCAGCACCATCATCAATAGCAGCTGAGGAAGCACACCGTCAGCAACCACCTCCACCTCCACCTCCACAGACACCGCAGCCCATCCTCTTTACGGGGGGACCGCAAGGGACACCGTAAAGGGCTGATCGGTTGGGGTCACCGCTCGTCGGCCCCGGGGGGGGGGGGCAGGGGGGGGGGATCTAGGACCGCACGGTTTTGACGTCGAAAGTCAAAATCGCGGCCCAAAATGTTGGGTGGGGCCCAAAATGATGGCGACGGTGACGGCGACGGCGACGACGCGGTCCTGCAAAAAAGTCCGCCGCCAAAGTCCCCCCCAACAACTACCCCCGTGGGTCGCACACACGCACACACACACACACGCACACACACGCATACAACCTAAACTTTAGCCAAGCTCTTTACAGGAAGTGCTCATTGAAAGTGATTGTTGGCAATGTTGGCGATATTTTGGTGTCGACCTGCCGGCACAGGCACTGCATGGCAACAAAACCTCCCCCCGAAATACGTACATACATACAATGCAGGCGGCTGGCAGAGGTTAAGGCCTGACTTCTGCTCCCGGCCGACCCGGGTTCAAATCCGCCTGCCGGCTCCTCGGGTGTTGAGGAGTGTTGAAATGGGAGGTGGCCCCCCGTCACATGGACGATGTAGGACGTGATAATAAGAACTTGCGAGCTAACCAGGAACTAAGTTGATGCGCCGTTGATCCGCTAGATTTGGTTGGATGCTGGTGGTGAGTTGCCGAACCCAACGAATACATTCTGAAGTCGGATGGGGTGACGGAAAAGGGTGCCCCTCTGGCAGGGAAGAGCAGGGACTGCCCCGGGAAAGGGGCCGCTGGCGAAGTTAACCACCCTGTAACAACATACATACATACACACATACACAGGCTCAAGCATGCCTTCGGTTCGTATGGGTAGTTCTACAGCTCGGGGGTCACGCACCTCGCAACCATGTAACACACACATACACACATATACATACATACATACATGCGTACACACAAACAGACAGGCGCGCGCGCACATGTGTGGACGACTCACTCTTTACCTTCATCTCCGTGATCTCCGTACCATCACGCCCTCCATCCCCACCATCACCCACTCCCACACGGACATGTCAAACCACGCACCCGGCACCCTTTCCTTTCCTTTTCCTCACCCAGAAAACCCTACGCTAGCACACTAGCACGCTAGCACATGCAAACACATGCGAGGGAAGGGAAAGGAGGAGAAGCGGCGCCCTACACCAACCCCTCCAGGCGCGGCGGTTTTCTCTCCTTCCTCTCCTGACGGAACCGCTTTTTCCCTTTTCCCGTTTCCTTTTCCCCAACTCGTCTATTATTACTTTTTCACCCTACGAAAAGCATAAGACTCTGAAAACCCCACCTAAAACCTTATAACCCGGATTAAAACCCAGTGAGTGGCTGCGAAGAGAAACTGTTTCCCCTCGTGGCCACCCCCCCCCCTTGTCCGTCGTTTCGTCGTCTTTTGCGATCACGATATCACACCGCCCACATCACTAAAGATGATGGCCAGCTTATGACGGCCAACATTGACCTCCGCCGGGGTCCACCGGCCCGACATACAAACATACAAACACTCGCATTCACATCACTCCTACACACATACGCACATACATACATACAATCAGGCTGTCCGCTCTTCAATTGGCCTTCGCCGCCTTTTTGCTCGCCTGGCGCTTGACACGGCCGTACGCAAAAACGCCCGCCAGAGCAATGGCCGTACCTGCCGTACACATCATGGGTAAGCCAAATCGGCGTATCGTGAAGAGTATGTGGGGAATCGTGATGACGGGGAAGGCGAAGGGGAGGTCTGTAAAACGCTGAATAACTCACAAGTTCTATTTTATGTTGTTGAGGTGCGCGGAGTCGAAGTGCGTGTGTGTGTGTGTGTGTGTGTGTGTGCGTGTGTGTGTGTGTGTGTGCGTGTGTGTGTGTGTGTGTGTGTGCGTGTGTGTGTGTGTGTGTGTGTGTGTGTGCGTGTGTGTGTGTGTGTGTACGCGGAGGCAGGGTCGAGGGGGAGTTCCATATCCCGCATCCCACCTCCTTAAAACCTTTCTTCTCTCCGGGAACCCAAATCCTATTTGTATTCCAAATTCTAAATCTAAATTGTAAGCCCAGGCCCCACTAGTGCCCTCCACACCCACCCAGGGCATTTTGCAGCGACACGGGGTTTCGGAAGAAAAGTACGGAAGTCGCGATCACCACCACCCGCTTCACGCAGTTCCCAATGGAGTGCGTTACGGGGGACACTCGCTGTAGGATCATGTACGACACTTGCTGGTAGGCGTGGAAACACAATCCGGAGGCGAAAACCCACATCAGCACTTGGACCGGGTCGGTGACACCCTGGGGCGAGTCCGCGAGGGGGTCCGGGGGGTAAAGGGGGGGGGGAAAGTGAAGCTGCTGCCAGGGAAAGAGTGTACAAGAAGCAGAACTGACCAGTAGGCGATTTTGAAAAGGAGGGGGGGGTAAGAAAGACGGACCGCCGACGAGGTTGAAGCAGATACCCGAGAGAGAAACGGAGGGAGGGGGGAGGAAGGGGGCCCCGTGTGCGGGGTAAGGGTGTGTGTATGTGTATTTGCATGTAACGTTTTTAAGGTTTTGTTTTGCTGGTTTTGTTTGGTGTTAAAAACCCAGTGTACGGCAGCCCGGAGGGGGGAGCCAGTGGGGTTTACGCGGGGTTTGGCGTGGGGTAAATGAGCCACTGTACGGCACAGCCGTTACACAGATATGCTCTTCTTCCAAACACATCGGGCCCACAGCGTTTCGAGTCCACCTTCCCCACCTCCACCTAAACCCTAAGCTCCCAAGGAATCGACCCGCTGCCCCCAAAAGAGGAAAAGAAACCTCATAGGAAGAAAAGACCACTAAGAAAACCTTTAAACAGAAAACGAACCCTATAAAAAAAGGCAAGAAAAAAACAGCAAAAAAAAGAAAGAAAATTTGAGAAAATAAACCGAATTCAAGAAAACCCAATTAAATGAGGCCCCCTTCCCAACCTTCTTCGCCCCGAAACCGGGGGGGGGGGGGCCAATCGAACCCCACTCACCAATTCCGCCAGCCCCCCTGGAGTCAACCGCCAGCCCTCGAAAAAGAGACTGAACGGCAGTAGCAGCGCCGCGGATGCGAGTGTGATGCAGCAGAACAGCGAGATGTTGTCCAGCCCTCCTGCATCTCCCTTCTTCAACATCAGCTTCTTGGAGAGAACATTCCGCGACTGGAAGGTGAGGTTGGAGCCCATGGCCGAGAGAAAACCAAACCAGTTGAAAGAAGCCTGTCGAGAGAGGGTTTTAGAATTTGGGTTTTTTTGTAAGGGTTTGGGTTTTAGGATTTGGGTTTTTAAAGTTTTTTTTACAGTTTTGTTAGGTTTTGAAAATGTGGGGGAAAGGAGTTGAGGAAGGGCTCAGGGATGGGAGCCTGTTGCCCTCCTCCGCCCACAAAACCATACATGGGTTATGTCGTACATGTCGTACCAGCACAACTGAGGACGGGGGGCGTTCCCCTCCTGAGACATACACGGACATACATACATACACACACACTTCCTCACCCCCGCAACCCCTTCCCTTCAACTTTCCCCCTCCCTCCCCCCCTGTCACCCCGCCCCCCGGGTAACCACACCTCGGTCATGGACGCAATAGCCACACCACCGACGATAGGGAGCAAGGTTAGTAGTACGGCAGGCGACGGCTGGTCGCCCAGAAAAATGGCCGAGAGTACGACAGAAAAAAACGGCTCCATGGCCTGCGTGTATGTACACACGTGGATGTACGGCAAGAGGGACACGAACTGGGCGTACTGGTGAAACTGGTTGAGGAAAGACCTGGTGGGGGGGACGAACTTGACGCATACATACATACATACATGCATACATATACACCTGCATACCTTGATGGTGTGCGTGAACGACACGGCCACTGCCCCAAGCGACATGTTGGTGAGCAGATTGCCCAATGTGTGGACCACCGCAAGGGGCAGCACGCTCCGGACCTGTACGACACAGAATGTACGACACATGCCGTACAACACAACACAGAGTATACCCTCTCGCGCGGTTGTAAGGTGACTAGGTTGACAGTCTCAGCTCCTTCCAAGCCAAGAAGCAGCAGCCGAAACGGGCTCTCTCGCTCGCTCGCTCGGCCCCCCTGGTGCAACACCCAACAGTCGCCCTGCCGTATTCCCCGCAGGCGGGAAGAGGCTGTACGGCACTGTACGGCAATTTTTTGGAGGTATCGGTGTCGTGTTTGGACTGTTTATACACATACACCCTCATTATTATGGATAGCTGCGTGAGGGCCACACGGGTATGGCGCCCGGCGGCGTTGGGAGTGATGTACGAGTCTGGTGTTGTACGACACTTGCTGCCCTGGGCGCCAATGTGCAAATCCATATGGACGGTGCATTTTGCACGCCGCCTCCCTCTCAACAAGAGCGGCTGCTGAGCATCATCATGTCTAGATAGCCTCCTGGTACTGCTGGCGCAAACCCAGTTCCCCCGTTCATTGCCAGGCTGGGACTGGAGAATAAATGGACATGTATGAGATATGTGCTGTGCGTGACGGACGGAGCAGAGCAGAAGGTTTTTTATTACAAAAAGGAAAGTGCTGTCGGGCTGTCGGAGTAGGTCGGAGCCCTGCTGAGGCGATGATGAGCTGACGACCCGCGCATATCCCCAAACACGCCGAACAAATACACAGCTCCACATACACAGCGTCCCGTGCACCCCCCCACCCCCCCCCCTACCCCCCCCCCGCCGCCCCTTTCCCCCCAAAGAATCCCCCAAACCCTAACCCCCCAGCTCCCTCCCCAGCCAACTCTTCCTTTCCCCCCCCCACCCGCCCCGGGGGATTCGAAACCCGTCTCACCGTGTCGCCCGTTATCTTGGGCGCCTTCAGCAGCCCGGTGGCCCAGCTCAGGAGGGTGATGGCGCTGCCCACTACGAACTGCATCTCCGTAATCGTGATCGGGAAGGCGAAGACCTTGAGAACCTGAGGAGGCAAATGAGGAGGAGGAGGAAGGGGAGGATGGATGGATGGTTGGAGGAGGAGGGGAAAGACGAACCACACACGATTGAAGTGAGCTGATGCCGGGGCAAGAGTGTACCAAACGTAGAACTGACAGAGGGCCGCCCAGGAGCTGCAAATATTCATAATATTCATAATATATATTTTACAATTGCATACGCAGGAAGCATATAACCTTCAAAGCAGCAAATTGCGGCGAGGGGGAAGATGACGGGGAGAGATCAGGGAGGGGTTCGGGGGGCACATGGACTTGGGGGGGCTTAGGGGGGTAGGGGAGAGCGGGAGGGAGAAGGAAGCTGCCGGGATTAGGGTTGGGTTTTGTACGACAGCGGGGCGCAGGCACGCTGACCTAGCCGTAGCCAAGTCATACAGTTATGTGTGAATACGGGTCGCGGGACGTGGTCATACGTACCGATATGTTGATGCGAACCATGGCGCACACGCACATGCACATGCACACATGCACAGACAGACACACAAACGTAGCCTACCTGCTTGTTGTACAAGTTGAAGGCGATATTGGCGGCATACCATCCGGCAAACATGGAGCCCAGGATCAGAGTAGAGGTGAGCTCGCTTTGGCCGTCTGTGGACATAGGTAAAAAGAAACGGAGAAGGAAATCGTACATCGTACAGTTTGAAAGATAAAAAACGCTTTGAGCACACAGTGCAGTGAAACAGACCATACGAAGAGGAAGGAAAGAGAACAGTTCATTCTCAATATAGGGAAACTTGGAGCGGTGAAGGCGGGAACGGTAAAAAAATTGCTTAGATGTTGCGTTTGGACGGGTGTTTGGGGCGCCACAGGTGGAACTGAGCAAAAGGGAAGGCGTCGGCGCAATATGAGTCCGGTGAAAGGTGAAAGATAAAATATATATAAGCAGGGCCCAGGTAAGGGCTATCTTGAAGATAGCGATAGAGATACGCGTCTTGCACTTATCGTCGCGATGGAGCGCAGACGAGGGACGGACGGATCAAACTCAATAATATCATACATGGCAAGGGCGTCACCTTCTGGCAAGGAATCCGAGGCCGCCGCAGCAGCCGCGTTGCACGTTAGAGGCTGCCGAATGCGTATCGGCGTGGCGCCTGGATAGGTCGTTGATGGAAGCCTAGCGCCTGCACTTGAGACATATTCACTGAAGATACGGCGCTGCGTAAGCCTAGGATGTATCGAACTTGGTTTCCGGCATAAAGGCGTAACGTTGAATGTAGGGCTTAAGAGGGTTGACGCCGACATTTTAGGATTTCGGAAAGCACACAGTTCTCTAAGAATGCGACAAGTTACCACCAGATTGTTAATGCTAGCGAGACTTCACCTCCCTCCTCTAACGGACAACATGACATCGTGCATGCCGTACGGCAGGAAAATCACACAATCCCACGATAAAACCTATGACGCCCTTAATTGTAGTTATATCGATTAAGAGAAACTCCTTATCACATAACATTTATGTAACCGGTATTTGTAGACTACCTCTTAACGAAAGGAGGAAATAGCATTCATAACATCCGTCTTTCAGACTCGGTCTTGGACAAGTCCACCGTCCAGACGATACGTGGTCTGACTGAAAGGGTATATATGAACGTTGATTGTGCTGCAGCGTTCACTGGGACGCCTTCGCAACGCCTTCGCAAAGCCACTGCAGCTGCGGGCACTTACTTCTCACAGGAACTGGCCATGACTTGGCCGGGCGAAAATCAAAGCTACGTCCGCAGCTGCCTCAACAAGAGGGTTAAAACCGCAGATGCTGTCCACTCTTATTCTTGGGCGTCAGTTGGTGGCGGCGATGGCAACGGGCGCCCGTGGCCATCCCCAACGCTGCCCCAAGCTGCCACCGGCCTGTCAGTAATGGCAGTCGACGTAGATACTTTGCCTGGCTTGGAAACGTTCGAGTTTCCTTTCACTACTTCATGGCACTCGAAGGCCCAAAGGACGTTGTCCGCACCTGTTGACTCGTCCATCTCTTGGCTAACCGCCGATGCCTTTGCGCCTGGCACACCGCCAACTCTTCCAGTTTCCAGCCATCCTTCTCCTCCGGAATCGCCTCCGGCCTTGGCGCCTTTCGCGCCGGTGGAGCCTCGAGTTTCGTTCGGCCATCCCGAAATGGTCGATGCAACGAAGACTCTGACCGACATGACAGCCGCTTGGAGTGATGCCCATGAGCAACAAGAGCAGCAAAAACTGTCAAACCTGCAACTGCAAGACATACAACGCGTTCCAGACGAACGGTTTTCGCACCATCTGGGAATGGCTTCGTCATTGACTAACGGGTTGCTCAGCGCTGCCTTCAAACGCTGCAAGGGAGGGACACAGGAAATATCCGGATGCTTTATTAGTGGCGGCAGCTGTTCCGGAATCGCCACCGGAAGCAACGATTCGGCGCTTCCTCGGGACTGTCTTTCCGTGTCTTCACTGTCGCCGTCATCCACTACTCAATCGCAACCACAGTCGCTTTCGCCGCCGGCGGGGGATAAACTGGCACTGCAAGAAACCGTCTGTCCAACGGAAGCTGGCAACTCAGTGCCACCAGTACCGTTATCGTACGCAAGCCGTACATCTGCCGTCCCCACGTCTGTGCTGAGAGGGAGCACCTGCGATGACGGCGGCACGTCGGACAACGACGGCGACGACGCCACGAATGATGCTTTCGCGGCCGTCGCAGCGGTGGGCAACACGCTGACGGTGACTGTGGTCCTTGACGACAACGACCCGGTGCAGACGGCGCAAGCAGACGCCGGCGGCGACGGTGGCGGCGGCGGCGGCGGCGTCAGCGGGTCTGGTCATGCTGCTGTTAAGGCCACTTCGCCGCCAACGTCGACCTTACGACTGCCGTTACGGCCGCCGTCAGCGGCGGCAGCGGAGGATTCAACCCGGGGCCGGCTGCAAAACTGCAGCGACTCAGCGACGTCGCCGCTGCTGCCGCCGTACGACCTTAACACCAGCGCACTGTGGCGGGCGGGCAACCCCTGGGGCAGGCCGCCTTTGCCGCCTGCTTACCACGGCCGGTCCACTTCCAGGTAATCAGATAGCTAGCAAATTGTTTCTAAAGCTTTTGCTCTTATCTATCCAGCAGAATATTGACCTCTGTCCAGCTATGGTTATTGACCGCTACCTTTTTTACCTGCTAGACGCTATCTATCTGCCTTTTACGTCACCTGCTAGCCTTTATCCTGCTGGTGAGCGATCGGCCAGATTTGTAATTTACCTTCAGGGCGGTAGAGAAAGGTCCGCATGCTTGCGTTGCGTCAGTTAGTCGATTTCCGGATCTGCTGCTTGCATGGTTGTAAGTGTGTTGTAAGTGTGTTGTAACAACCTGGCGAGGATATGATGGAGGTGGAGGTGGATGATTTCGGTTCTCGCCGCTGAGGCTGCGGCTGCGGCCAGGAGAGGCAACAGTTCAGCTTCCTTCCCCCTCCCCCTCCCCCTCCTCCTCCCTCCCCCTCCTCCTCCTCCTCCTCCCCCTCTCCCTCCTCCCCCTCCCCTTCCCTCCAACACGAAAATCCACTGTCCTGGAAAACCCAAATCCCTCAATTACCAAAACCCAAATGAAGCTTCAAAACCCAAATCCCAACCGCCGATTCCCAGTCACACATCCAGGTGGTTTTGTTCGCCCCGCGGAGAACTCCCCCCTTCCGCTGAAGGCACCCCGACTCCTGTCGGCGATATCGGCGCACGTGTTTGTTCAAACAGCAGCAGCAGCAGCAACAACAACGTCCACAACCTCGGTGTTCGTGTGCAAGCCGCGTCGTCGCCGTTCGGACCCCGCTTTGAATTTGGATCGTCTGACAATCAGGGCTTGGATCTTGATTCGGATTTGAATTTGAATGTGGGTCGAGGTTTGGAATCGACAGCAGCAACGGCCACGCGCTGGGGTGGCGCCGAATGGACCAGGCAGAACAGTCCCTTTGCGCAGGTGTCGGGGCAGCAGCCGTACAAGCCGTACCAGCAAGGAAACCCGGCGGGGGAGGAGGAGGAGGAGGGGGGTCAGCGGCAACAGCAACGGCATTACCAGCGGCAGCTGCAAGAGGAGGCGGCGGCGGCGGCGGAGGAGGAGGCGGCGGCGGAGGACGTATGGGAAAGCGGTTACGAAGACGATGATGATTTCATTTACGCGGTCTGCAATCGCTACGACAATCAGTACGGCATTCTCCACCATTGCCAACGCGACAATCGTCACCAGTATCGCCACCAGCAGCTTCAGAGCCTCACCGCGGCGGAGGGGAAGAACAGCCGTCATGTGTACGACAGCGCAGCAGCTGCTGCTGGCGGCGGCGGCAGCGGCGACGACATCGGTGGCGGTAATGGCGGCATTCCTTCCGCTAGTCATGGACCAGGCGCCGCGGCGCCGTACGGTGGCGGCGCCAGCCGTCCTTCCGCCGCCGATGTCGGCCCCGCAATGACAGACGATGAGTTGGACGACTACTACCTCCACATTTTGTGTGCGGGATGGGACCCTCTCGCGAAGTTTATGCAGCAGGAAAATGCCAAAACCGCGAAACAAATATCGTCGGCGCCGTTCTCCTCGCCGTCGCCGCCAGCATCACAACAAGAGAACGGTCGTGAATATGGATGTGGCGGAGCTGTACGGCCGTTAGCCGTACATCAAGATGGCGGCGACGTGGCGGCCGCGGCGGCGGTGGCGGTGGCGGCGGAGCATGAGGATGAGCTTTTGTTGTTGCAGCTTCATTCTCAGGAACTGGTCCTGTCCCAGGAGCTCCCGTCGCTGCCCCTAAAGGAATTGGGTGATGAAGGGGAGGAGGAGGAGGAGGCCGTGGAGGGGGAGGAGCGGGCGGAGGCGGCGCCGGCGGGGATGCTAGGGGCATTAGCGGCGTCGCCATCACCTATTCACGACGCGGAGGCGTTGAGGCGGAGGAGGACGAGGCGAAGGAGCAGAGTTGTCATGCGGCGACTAGAAACGGCGGAATAGCTGCTTCTGAAGCCATGGCTGACGGCGTGACGGCGGAGCCGCTATGGCCGCCGCCGCCGCCGCCGCCGCCGCAGCCATCATCAGGGCCGTCAGACGACAGACATACCACATACCTGGGAACGGTGGTCAACGGCGGCTACCGCCGCCTCGTGAACTGCATGAATGAGATGTACGACGACATGTACGAGGTCACAGCGGATTCGCCGTGTCAGCATCCTGCAGGTCTTCTCCCGCAAGTCACACCAATAGCGGCGGCACTACTAACGAAAGAGTTAGTACGGCAGTCGCCGGCTGCCCCGCCGCAGTCCTTGCCGCCTCCGCCGTCGCCGTCGGCATCTTTGCTTGTACGACAGGACACACCGGCAGTTGCGCTGTCAGAGATCTTGCCGTCGCTGCCGCTGGCGTCACTTGCGTTCCGTACATTCACGACGGAGGCGGCGGCGGAAACGCGACCTGTCGGTTTTACGTCGGCAACGGCCGCGTTGGGCTCCCGTGAGTTTGAAATGGAGTACGACATGGACTTGAGCTCCCGTTGCGGAATGGAGGATGCGGAGTTGGAGGAGGTGATGGAGGCGATGGATGGGGCAGACGTACACGAGGCTGTCAACTCACCCAGACCGAGCGAAGACGGCGGCGGCGGCGGCGGTGGCGGTGGAGAGGTCGCCGCAGCTGCGGGTGATGGCGTCGGTGGCCGCGACTGTGTTGGCGGTACGGCAGAGGCCGCCGCCATCCTGACAGCTGCCTGCCAGGAGCCGTTGCCGCGGCAGCTGCTGCCGCCGCCGCAGCAGCAGCAGCAGCTGACGCCGCCGCCGCAGCAGCAGCAGCAGGAGCAAGAGCAAAGCTCACCACCGGCAATTCCAGCGGCTGAGGCAGCACCCGTAGTTGGCGTATTTAATGGCGGTCGTTGCGACTTCCATGGGCGACATGGCCCTGAGCTGCGCCTGTCACTGCAGCGGCATCTAGGACGGCAAGAGGATGACCACCACCACCAGCACCACCACCACCACCACCACCAACAACAACAACAACAACAACAACAACAGCAGCAGCAGCAGCAGCACCCCAACCACCAACATAGCAATGGTGGCGCGGGCGTGGATTGTAATAATGGTACGGTCGCTACTGCAGGGGGTGGCGGTGGCGGTGCGGGGGAGGGTAGGGGGCCGGCGGCTTTGGCGGAGTTATCGTTGGAGTGCGTGAGCAGCTGGTCGCATTGCTCCGTGGCTGAGGAGGAGGAGGTGAGGTGGCTGGTCGCGGAGGTTGTTGCGGCGAACTTGCTGTTGCTCAGCGGCAGGGAAGACGAAGACGAGGGGGAGGAGGCTGCAGCTCTGCGGCCTGCATCGTCCTTCAGGTAGATGAGTGTGAGCGGAGGAATACGACAAGTACGACACATTTACGTGGAAGCGAGAGATGAAATGGCAGCGATGGTGGGGATGATGGCTGTAATGTTTTGGCAATGGCTTATGGTTGGGTGTGCGGATATTTGGCAGTTGTCGTCGCAGGTGTCGTCGACTCTCCTTGGTTCACTCCTCACGCGGCATGTCGATGTGGGAAGGATTGTTTCTTAAAAATTCTTTTCTGTATTAGTAAGGAATGGTGGCTACGGGAAATGTGTTTCCGAGTCTGCACGGCAAACTGTACTGCAAATTGTACTGTACTGCACAACATTGTACTGCTGGCGAATTGCTGGCACATTAGAAAGGTTGGCGCGATCGCTGCTGCTGCTGCTGCTGCTGTGTAGAGGTGTATTTGAGGGGCGTGAGGAGTGGGAGGAGGAGCAGTAAGGGGCGTTTGGCTGTGACAGCAGGATGCAGGTGCGCGTGGAAGGATGAGGAACACCTTTTTTCTTTCAATAAATATGACAGTGGCGGTAGCAATAGCTGTAGCAGGTGGCTTTATAGGACTTTGAGCTTCGTTGATTTCAACGCCCGGAAGGAAAGCCGAAAAGAGGACGTTTCGTTCTGGGCAGCGCTAGGGGAAAAAAGGGTTGGGCCCCGAGATTCATACACATTCAAACGTACGTACGTAAGGTCATACGCGCGTACGGCACAGCACTACCACAACGGACTTTGGCCTGCTTATTTTAGATTCCGGTGGTTGTGGTGGTTATGCGGCTGATGGACCATTACAGCAGTGTGTGGCGCTGCGCTGCACTCTGTGTGCCGCGCGACGAGGAGATGACACAGGCATCTCAGATACGTGTAACGCTCACATCTCACCGGCGGTTGTGGCGTTGTGCACACACATACATACACACATACACACACCAGAGTTAGGTGCGCCTGGCCAGTGTCAGGCCATGTATCAAATACACACCTTGGCGTCAGGCCCGGCAAAATATGTAATATACATATGTAGCGTTGTTCCTAACCGTAGAAGGAAAATCCTTCTCATATCATTTCTAATTAGAAGTAAATTAGAATATGAGAATGAGAATCACTTTGCTATCTTTTCGCCCAGCGCGAAGAATCAACTGAAAATTTGTGGGCATGGCGGCTCATGGTTATCCAGGCGTTTCCAATTTTGGCCGAAAGTCGATGGCGGGGGTCGTAACCCAGAGGGATGTACCTCTTGGCCATATATAACCCCCTTGGAATGCAAAGCCAACCTTGCCAAGTGTTGTTATTTCCAGCCAGTTGCCAGACGGATACAGACAGGTGCAAAGCTATGTTGCACCTGAAGAAAAAAAGAGGCATATGCTAGGCGAACATACATACATATGCATCCACTGCGGACATCCTATCCATATTGCGTAACATATTCCGCACCCGATGAAGCCGCAATAAGCGCAGCCAGAAACACCCGATGATTACCCTAAATCGGATGTTATCAAAATATTGCATTACTAGAATATTTCCTTTAGCATTAACATTTCCATTTTTTGATGTTGTCGCACATGCATAGGGTGGGGTGAGGTGTGCAGGGAGTGACACCCAGCCGGAGACAGTGACTTGAACATCACCGCTCATCACATCGACCGATATACATGTGTCGTGATCGTGATGTATTGGTGGCAGGTCAGGTGGAAAAACAGAGTAGTTTTCGGGGCGAGTGGTGTGCGGATTGTGTGTGTGTGTGTGTGTGTGTGTGTGTGTGTGTGT